CCGATCAATTATAATGGCGTGTTCTTTCGTAAACCTCAGGGCGCGTTGTTACACATCGCGGGTGGCTATGCTCACCCCAGTCATCGAATGCAGTTCCATGGTGATTTGAAGTTGTGGTATTGTGTCGGCTGTGGCAGCTACGGGTCGCAGCAGCTCCTGGCCCTGGGTCGTGTGTGCGTGACGCCTCCCACCCCGCACAGGGCCGAGTATCTGCGGCTGATCTCCCAAGGCTTGTGGCCAAAGGTCCTGAGCAAGGCTGAGAAAGCCACCAGGCGCAAGAGTAATGTATAGCGATGTGGAGGATTCACTGACTTAGTCATATGGTCATGCTCATGCTCATGCTCATGCTCCTCCTCCTCCTCCTCCTCCTCCTCCTCCTCCTCCTCCTCCTCCTCCCCCTCCGCCTCCGCCTCCTTCCTCCTCCTCCTCCTCCTCCCCTCCTCCTCCTCCTACGCCTCCTTCTCATCCGCGTCCTCCGCCCCCTCCGCATCCTCTGCCTTCTCCTCCTCTCCCTCTCTCCCCTCCTCCTCCTCCTCCTCCTACTCCTCCTCCTCCTCCTCTCCTCCTCCTCCGCTCCGCTCCGCCTCCTCGTCCTCCTCCTCCTCCTCTCCTCCTCCTCCTCCTCCTCTCCTCCGCCTCCTCCTTCCACTCTCCTCCTCCTCCGCCTCCCTACTCTCCTCCTCCTCCTCCCCTCCTCCTCCTCCTCCCTCCCCCTCCTCCACCCCCTCCTCTCCCTCCTCCCCCCCTCCCCTCCTCCTCCTCCTCCTCCGTGCATCCTCCTCCTCCTCCTCCTCCTCCTACTCCTCCTCCTCCTCCTCCTCCTCCTCCTCGTCCTCGTCCTCGTCCTCGTCCTCGTCCTCGTCCTCCTCCTCCTCCTCCTCGTCCTCCTCCTCCTCCTCCTCCACTAAACCCAACCCTGAGACCCCAGGACGTCCATCTATGGCTGGTGGCAAGAAACCCAGGGCACCCTGGAGGCAAGCAGGGTGTTCCTTGGCATGGGTCTCCACCTGCAGGCTAGGCCTCCGAAGCTCCGTCGAAAGCGGAGGAGGACGGAGAGGAAGCGCTGCCCACGGAATTACCATCAGCGTGCGGCCAGGAGGAACGCAGACAGGAACGAAGGGTCTTTTCTGGCCTCGGCGAGTCTCGGCCAAGGAGATGCGTTCCCGATTTAGATCTGAAGAGCCACCGAAGGCAAGAGCCTCTCATAAACCCACCAGAGCCTCGCAGAGATCCCCGTGAACACACCATCCAGAGAGAAACCCCGATGGGCCCCCGACCCCTCCAGAAAATTTCCCAGGGCAGGCTGTAAACCACCTGGAGCTTCCAGACTCTGGCGGGTCGACAGAACACCGTCCAAGAACGCCTCAGAGTCCCCCGAGGACCTTGAAAGGATGCTCCCCGAGCTCACTGAGATTCAACGAATAGTCGGATACAGTGCGGGCGCGGCCGCAAGAAACCCTCGCAAGAAACCCAACCCTGAAGACCCGCGCGCAAAGTGCACCGGAGGGGAAACCTGGAGCACCCCGAGCGCAGCAGCTCTTTCAACGGCTGCGGGAAGTCGCCGCGCAGTGCGCGGAGCGAAGAAACCCAGGATACCCTGACGAAATGTATACGGTTTCTTGATGCGCGCCCACACTGTACACTGGCAGAACAGAATCGTCCGAAGACCCTTCAGACCTCCCTGAAAACCAGGCCTTCGAACGTCGAATGGATCCGCCAGGGAGGCACCAATATCGTGCGACACGGACTCCTCCTGCTACTGGGTCCTCCTCGGGCCAACCTTGGGAATCTAGGAAAACAGAAAGCGACATAAACATAAAAGCTCGGAGGTCCGCGCGGACTTCTCGGATGGGCGCTGGGGCCCCCTGGCGGCGCCTCCGACGCCGCCCATGGCGCGCTCCGCGCGCCACGGAGGGGGGTCCAGCGCCGATCCGAGAAATCCGCGCGGACCTCCGAGTTGTTATGTTTATGCCACTTTTGTTCCCCTAGAATCTTGACATCCCTGCGTCTGACAGGCGGGTGGGTGGCCAAAAGCGTCGGATTCCGCGATGCGCTCTTCGCAAAACTGCCCACCGCCCAGCCAAAGACAGGGACGAGGGAGCAGACATAGTATCATACCACCCTTTTGGATGCGATCGTCGAGCCTTCGGCCAGGGCAACTGCGGCTGGTGAGAAAAACCCTCTCGCCTGCTGGAGACAGGCCCTCTTCCTCGTCCCGCTCTTCCAGAACCCGCTCGAACCTCGCACTCCAGAAACGCTTATAGCTCTCCACGAACACCTATGTGGAGACAATGCGTGGTCTACAATAACGGAGTCCAGAGACCCTCATGGACATCCTGGAACCTTCCAGATGACCCCCACGGAGGCCCCAGAAGCTCGAACATCTTCTGAGGAGCCCACAGGAACGAGACAGAAAGGCTCCCAGAACTCACTGACACGTTCCCGAAGCCTTTGAGGGCCCCGGAACCCTCCACTGGGTAGCCTTGTGGATGCCACGACAATGGACACCCTAACAGGCCTACCATGGAAATTAAAATGTGTTTAAAATGGATGAAACATGTTCGAAACATGGTTCAATCATGTTTTTTACATGTTTCAAACATGTTTAGCACATGTTTTAAGCATCTGGAAATTAGTTGGCAAGATGCTTCCTCTCCATCGATCGTCCTCCATTGATCGTCCTCCACAAGGGCAGCCCAACGTTGCCCATCGCGCCCAGCGGTGCGCGGTGCTCCTCGCGCCCTCGCGCCGCCACCCCGTGGAGCTCCGAAAAACGGTGCGACGACACACCCCGCGCGGCGGCCTCGAGATCCCCCGAGAGACCTCACCGCACGGCCCGTCATCGCCCGGTCCTGGGGACCCCAGAGGCCCCAGCTGGCAATCGCTCGGACGTCCATTCCCTGTGCTTTTGTCGGTTTCGTGCGTGTTTTTTTCGCCAAATGATCAAGGATGCTCCTCGATGGTCCTCGCCGAAGGAAAAATGCACACGTCCGAGCGATGCCGACCCAATCGCCCGAGACGTCCTCGGAGAACGACCCGAGCCCCGAAAACCGT